TGGCGATGGATAACCAAGCCTGAGCAATGGTGGATCTAGGGGAGAGGGGGTAGGTAGGCGGCATCAACAATTTCTTGTACAAAGAGGCGATAAAGACCTTCTTGAGGGTTAAGGGGTCCAAATGATTTGATCAGAGCCAGAGGAGGCCAAAAACGTGGAGTGCAACATGGACGACAGGGTAAGGAAATCAGAGGTTTCGAGGTCAGAGAGAGGCTGCTTGAAAGGACTCTAGACTCTGAGTGAGCCTGAGAGAGGCACCTTCTCTGCAACAGAGGAGAACTTATTCTTGACCAAGGAGAAGAGGGCAAGGAAAAGATCCCTAAGGGTGGGTATGGCCCAACCATAGGTTAGACCAACAGAGCACTCGATGTCCTACCCTAGAGTGGAAACAGATGTTCTAGAAGAGGGATAAAGATGATAAAAATGACTTCCAAGCTCCGGAGGGTCTAATGGTCGAGTTTGCGGTAGGAAGCCAAGCAATGCTATGAATGCGATATTTGTCACGGACTACCTATGTCCAGAGGAGGTTATTTTGAGCGCCAACTGCCACCTCCACTTTCCAAGCAGTGCCGTGTTGTGTTTCCTTGGGAGGCGAATACCAACGCTGCCAAGATGTTTGGGTTGGCAGACTTTCTCCCAAGCAATGAGATGGTATTTTTTGATGGTTGCGTCTCCTGCCTACGAGAAATTCCTCGTAAGTTGCTCTAGGCGATTGGCCACCACAACTGGCATGTGGAAAAGGGACATGAGGTAGACCGGGGTGTAGGGTGGCCTTGATGAGGGTGGTTCTTCCCGCAAAGGAAAGAAAGTGTCCTTTCCTGTCAGCCAGGCGGTGGTCCACTTTATCAATGATGTGGGACCACTAGCTTTGTTTGGGCTTACTGAGACCTAGTGGCATTCCTAGGTAGCTAGTGGGTAGGTCTTCCACTTTACACCCCCATTTAGGGATAAGGGATCTGGTCTCAAACGAAGAGAGAGCAACTCCAATCATAGTGGATTTGCCGAGATTAACTTTAAAGCCTTTGTTTAATGTTGGAATTTGTATCATTAGTGTGAATCAGGATATTCTACTGGTTGTTTGGTTATCATCCCTTGTAGAAATTTATGAGGGGTTAGTTTATATGCCAAATAAGGACGTCGTTTAGGTCTTTAGGCTTTCCAGTTGTATCTTTATTTCACTAGGGATTAGCGGTCTGGAACTTGGTGAACTTGCCCTAGTAACCCAGTTTGTTTGTCTTTGTTCATTGAGAATGGGTGATTGCTGATTTCCGCTGATTTTGTTGAAATTTGAGGAACTTGAACTTGTCTGCGATCTGGGTGACATGGACCCAACCATTATGAAATCTGGGTGACTGGCATGTTTTAACAGAAGGCCATGTCCATAAAGTCCTCTAAAGCTTGCATGTTCTTATTGGGGAGGAGAAAATTTGAGATTCTCCTCCAAAAGAAAGTTGTTGGAAGTGGGTTTGGAAGAAATAAAAGGTGAAGATAGCCAGCAATGTAAAGGAAAATAAAATGGCATTACTTTTGTAAATTTTATAAATAAAAGAGAGAAATGTAAGAAGGATAAAGGGGTTGTCCACACGGTATTTTGCTTGATTTGCTTTGAGAAACCTGCAATGGTGACTTCTGGAAGTATATGTGGGTCTTCAAAACTTATAATGCTTTCAACCAGAGATCTATTTTTTTTATTTGCAGTTTAGTGTCTCTATTTGCTTGTGAATGAGTTCATGCGATAATGTGATGATTTGCTTTCCAAACTAGAGTTGGTATGCATGCTTGTACTGCACATATACTGGTGGCTGCTGCAAGTTGGACTTAGCAAAACTTAACTTTTGGTCTTTTTTGGAGTTTGTTGTTTTATGTGTGTTGACCTCGTCTTTTACTTCGTTGGCTTCCAGGATTGCTTGTTCTGCCTTTGTACGCGGGACTTTCACGTGCGGAACAGGTCAGTTTGCTTTTCAATGAGATTCCATAGGAGCTTATAATTTTTTGTTTTTAATGCTGCATTCACCGGATTGTTTTGTTTTAGGAACTGGTATTTTCTCCCACACCTCGAGGAAAGAGGAAAGTTGTCATAGCAACTAATATTGCAGAGACATCCTTGACATTAGAGGTATGAGTGGATTTTCACAGCCGATGACATAGTGAACATGGTAGCTTGTTCTAGCATGGATGTGGCTTTGCTTTTGTGGTTTCATATAATTTCTTCAAATTGAATGCAGGGTATGGTCTATGTTGTGGATTCTGGGTTTTCAAAGCAACGTTTCTATAATCCAGTATGTATGAATTCTCTCATATTTCTCCGTGACACTTTAAGATATGATTGCTTTGATGTTTTGAGGGGTCACATTAACTAATAAATAGACATAGTAATAATGGCAGTCATGAAGAGAGTGGAGCAATGACAAAGGGCTAACTTAGAGAGTCAAAACTCTCCTCAAGTTTGGAGAGGTTTGATGGAGCTCTAAGCACCATTGTGTTTATTTATTGGGTCGACTCATTTGATAAGGTTTTTTATTGGAAGGATATCTTGATAGAGGTGCAAAGTGTCATGGTAGTGGGGACTAAATTAAGTGGTTATTCAGCTTATGCTTTGTTGTGGTGGAAGGAATACCAAGTGAATCGTTTACAAGCTCATGCTTTATTATATAATTATTATTAGTTTATATAATTATTGATGTGTATTATTATTACAATTATTTTAATAATAATAATAATAATAATAATCATTATAATATTATTATTATTATATTATTATTATTATTATATTTTGTTTATCATATTAAGAGTGTCAATATAAGACCTGAACTGTCTAATTTCCTTATCATATTATGGATGTATTATTTTCAAGAAATAAATTTTATTGGACAATAGTACTATAGAATCATCAACTTATGAAATGAACGGATAAACTGGTTTAACAACAAATTTCTAAAGCTTGGTTTCCAACTTAGTAGAGCCAAACAGAGGATTTGTCATATATTGGGTTTTTCTAGGAGCTAACTAAACATCACTGTTGCCAAAACCATGTTTTACATATACTAGAATTTGCATACCCAGGTTTTGAGGCATATTCAGGATTTGTATATCCCAGGACCTAAACAACCCATAAAGTTCTTAGTTTATCCATTGGTGTGGCTATGGAGTTTGGCTTGTAAGCTTCTTTTACCATTTCAAATTATTAGCAGGTTTCGCTTGTTTTCCTTTGCGTCAACCTTTAGTTCATCAACTGTTTTCAGAGTTGCTCGATTCTCAAAGCACCTTGGGTGCTAAAACTATGCACGATGGTCGATACAGGAGCTCGTGGAGGCCATGACCATGTTGGGGTTTCTGAGCCTACGAGGGAGGATTTCGATGACTTGTTGAGGCGATTTGAGGAACTGGCATAAGAGGTGTGCTATACTTGTTCTAAGCGGGGTTTAGTTGTCCATGAGAGTGATGAATCAGAACCTGGATAAGAGAACCATTTCCATAACCAGCAGGAGGACGAACCTTCCATTTCTAAGGGACCCCTACCTGCCCCCTGAGGAGCGTCCAATGCGAGCTTTGGATGGGGTGGATCGAAGCATCTGGGTTAATGTGCCCAAGTTCTCTAGTAGGCTATAGCCGGATGACTTCTTAGTTGGCTTCCGAGCATCAAGACGTTTTTCAAGTTTAAGAGCTACCTTGATGAAGGGGCATGCCTTCATCTGGTGGCAGCAATTACAAGCAAGTGACTTGTCGAGAGGCAACAACAAAATCTTGATCTGGAAAAAGATGAAATCATGTATGAAGGAAGAGTTTGTCTAGATGTAATCTTAGAATATGAAGGAAATGTTCGTGCTAGGTTATCCATGCCCAAGATCTATAACAAAGGTTCTATCACTTGCGCCAGATGGAGAAGAGTGTGCAGGACCATAAAGGCTCTTTCCTGCTGATGAGCCATAACGAAATTCACAGAAATGATCAGCTCATAGCCTGCTACTTGAATGGTTGGGGACTCTAGATTCAAGATGAGCTGATCCTACACCAAGTGATCAATCTTATTGAGACGTATGGATTTGCCTTAAAGGTGTAAGCTAAGTTTAAGAGAGGCGCTTCTGTTTGCTTCTCTGAACAAGGATCATGCTCAGCTACCACAAGGCGTGGTGCTAATTTGGGGCAGTGGTAGCCAGCTGCCACCCTAGTTTTTGGCCCAGGGATGTAGTGACAATGGGGAAGAACCTGACCATGAACAAGTCTACCCAAGCTCAGAATCAGAGAATTAAGTGTTTCAGATGTGGTGAACAAGGGCACCTCTCTTTTGAGTACTTTAAGAAGCAAGCCTGTCCACACCTTTGTGAGGCGGACAAATTCCATGAGGGGAATATTGAAATGGAGCCTATCTGTGATGAGGGGCATGATAATGAACTAGAACCATGCACGACGTAGCTGTATTCGGATGTGGGAGATTTCTTGTAATTAAGCAATTATTGTTTGCCCCTGAAGGTAGTGGAAGAGTCGTGATTGCGATAAATATTTCGCACCAAATTTACTGCTTAAAGTCTGCACCATCATCATTACAGTGGGAGTTGCAATATAATGTCGCAAGAGATGGTGGACAAGCTCATGTTGAAGTACGAACAACACCTTCAGCCCTACACGATCTACTAGTTTAAGGGATGCAACAAAACCCCTATTGACCATTGTTGTTAGGTCAATTTTACTATTCGAAAGTCTTATGAATCTATTTGGTGTGATGTGCTTCCTTTAGATGCATGCCATACTTTTTTTGGGTTGCGCATGACAATATGACTGGGTGCCAGTCTCCCAAGCCTTCCCCACTATCACAGGAGCCTAAAAGAGCATGAGGTGTTGCATTGGTTTGTCTCTAAGTTATTGGATCATTATCATCAGGATTCATGATAAGCTTTGGCAAAGTTTTACGTTGGCTGCTAACCTAACACAACCCAGCTCCTTGACCCGGGCATGGGATCGGTTAAGGGAAAGTTTAAGGTCCTCACCCTTCTTAGATCACTTTGAGTTATTAGATAAGGGCCTAATTAGGGACAACATGAGCCCTTGCATTCGTTGTGCCTTGCTAGCATCTGCGGGTTAGTCTTGGTGGATGTGTGTGGATAACAAGGCAATCAACAAGATAATTGTGAAATATCTCATTCCAATTCCACGACTTGATGACTTGATATGCTAACATGCTCAAGGGTCGTCTATAAGATTGACTTAAGATCTGGAGTCACCAACTTCGAATTCGCCCTAGTGATGTTGGAAGACTAAATATTCATGACTCTAGAAGGGTGATATGAGTGGCTCGTCATTACATTTGTACCATCGAATGCCCTTACGACCTTCATGACAGTGATGAACAAGTACTTCGACCCTCTATTGGGAAGCTTGTAGTAGTGTATTTTGATGCCATCCTTGCTTACAGCTCCACTGATGGAGAGCCCTTGGCCATTTGATGCAAGTGTTTGTGGTTGTGTGAAGGAGAAATTGTTTGTAAATACAAAGGAGTGTTCCTTTATAACAGATAGCTGATATTCTTGGGATTTGTGGTGTTGGTCTAAGGGGTTAACGCGGACCAAGCCAAGGTACAAGCTATTGTAGAGTGGTTGACATCAAAGACCATAGAAGTTGGAAGCTTCAATAGCCTCACTACCTTTTAAAGGAGATATATCTAGACTTTTAGCTCATGATCGCCCTATGACCAATTGCATGAAGAAAGGCAAGTAAGGCCTCCGATGAGAGCTTCAAATTCATTAAACAAAATATGACCAATTCTCCAATGCTAGCATAACCGGTTTTTGAAATCTTTCCAATGGATTATGATGAAATTCCTCCTATGTGCGTGGTACAAGCTATTGTACAAGCATGTAGAGCTATTGTACAAGCTATTGTAGAAGTGTTGACATCAAAGACAACAGAAGTTGGAAGCTTCGATAGCCTCACTACCTTTTAAAGGAGATATATCTAGAATTTTAGCTCATGATCGCCCTATGACCAATTGCATGAAGAAAGGCAAGTAAGGACACTGATGAGAGCCTCAAATTCATTAAACAAAAGATGACCAATGCCCCAATGCTAGCATAACCGGTTTTTGAAATCTTTCCAATGGATTATGATGTAATTCCTCCTATGTGCGCATTAGCACTGTCCTTTGCCAGAAGCCAAATCTATAGCCTTATACAGTGAGAAATTAAATGAGACCAAGCCTGATATTCCACCTATAATGTGGAGTTCTATGCGTTTGTGCAAGCACTGCATCACTAGCGGATACAACGAGAGTTCATTTTGTTCTCAGATCATGAAGCATTAAGGTTCTTGAATGCTCAGAAAGGCTCAATTGGCATCATTTGAAGTGGATTTCCTACTTACAAGACCTTTATTATTGGACACAAAGCTAGCAGCCAAAACATGATGGTTGATGCCTTGAGCCGAAGAACCTATTTACTTGGAGCCCTTGCAACTTCAATGGTTGGATTTGAGATCTTTCGACAACTATATGCTGCTGAGCCTTATTTTTATAAAATTGTTGATTGATGTATGCAAGGAAGCAAAGTTCCGATGACTTCATATTGCAGGACAGCTTTCTTTCCAAAGGAAGTAGACTTTGCATTCCGGAGTTGTCGATTCATGTCAAGATCATCATCAAAATGCATGTTGGAGGCTTGAATTGCTAATTCGGCTTCATGGAGAGGACTCAAACTTGCCAATCGACCAAAGGCCAGTCCTAAAACACAAGCTTTTACACCCCTTTGGCAATCCCTTCCGTCCCTTGGACAGACATTACCATTGATCTTGTATTGGGACTCCCCACATTGCATGAGGATGGGACTCCATCTCTTCGTGGTGGATCGGTTTCGAAAATGACGCATTTCATCCCATGCAAGATTACCTCTACTTGGCTGATACAGCTAACCTATTCCTCAAGGAGGTGGTTCGCCTCCATGGAGTACCCAAATCTATCACCTCTGATCCGAATATGCACTTCGTGAGTCACTTTTGGCAGGCTCTATTGAGGAAGCTGGGCATCAAAGTTTAGAAGAGCAATTCTACCAAGCACAAATGGACAAACCGAGGTGGTGGACTGAAACGTGGGAAATCTCCTTTGGAGTCTCGTTGGAGACAAGCCAAGCCAATGCGATCAGGTCCTATACCAAGCCGAATTTGCCTACAACAGCACTGTCAATAGGTCGATGAGAAGATCCCCTTTTGAGGTCATGTATGGCCATCAGCCATGTAAAGTATTCTACCTTGTTCCACTTCCTAAGAAGAAACGAACTAGTCATGATGTAGAGGCTCTAGCCGAGCTACCTCAAGACATCCATAGACGGGTGAGAGAGAAGCAACAAGCGAACTATGCCAAGTATAAGATGAAACTGATCAGCAACAACGAGACAAAGGTATAATGAAGATCTCTGGTGATACTGAACCTAAACCAATAATGCTTTTCGATCGGCACCTATCATAAAGTGAAGTACAAGAAGAACAGTCCCTGTTGAGTTCTACAAAGAATAGCAACAATGCTACAAAATTGAGCCTCCTGAGGGTTAATACGTATCCCCTGTCTTCAATGCTGCTGACCTTTATGAGTATTATAGAGCGCCTTTGAGCATAGGCAAGCCGGAGTGGGAAGCCCAGCTACCTAAGCGTGCTGCTTAAGCCATTCATGGAATTTTGTATATTTGGACAGTCGCTACGGGAAGCCCAGCTACCTAAGCATGCTGCTTAAGCAATTCATGGAATTTTGTATATTTGGGCAGTCAATACATGGTGTGATTCGTATAACCAATACCTAGTCTAGTGGAAGGTAAACTGGAGTCAAAGAACTCATAGATCTCAGAAGAGGACCTAAAACGGATCGATGAGGAAGCATGGAGGAGGTTCATGGTTGAGCAAGACTTGTGGGCGAGTCCTCCCTAACCAGGGAAGGTTGAAGTAGGCAGTTTCGTGAGCAGTGTGCCTTCAATAGTGCATAAGGTTTTGCTCGTAGCTCAGAATAAGTCGTATTGGTACTCTACGGATAAGTCTTTCAGTGCTCTGCAATGTCGCAACCTGCTCTGCCAATTGTGGAAACTGATTTTGTCAAAAAAGGCCTCTAGAGGCTTGTAAATGGCCTTCAAAGTGCGAACCGTGAAATTCTTGGGAATTATTCCTCAACAACTCCCAAAGAGCCCCATGAGAAAATGAAAGCTCTTGGGCATAGGATCTTATAAGGAAACACCAAGTATGAGCAGTCACTTTGGAAATGTGAGGGGAATCGAATGCTACATCTATGTAAGTGATTGCTAATAAGGGCCAATTAAAGACGAGAGTTCTTGGTAGAGCTGAAAGAGATAACCCAGATGGATAGGCTCTGGAGGACTAAATGGACTAACACCCTGAAATCGCATTGCCATCATGGGCCATTACAATAGGGTCATGTGCTCAGACATATGTGGAGTATAAAAAAGACTCTCAGGTCTATACATAATAACAACTCACAAAGGATGTGGTTCCTTCTAAACAGATGGAAACCACACTACCCTGCACCTGTCATTGCAAAAATATCTGGCAACCACACTAGCAATTGTTCAAATACCCATTTAACCCATGTGGTATGCGCGTCTCTTTCTTATTTCCTTTCATTTCCTTGGATTATTAGTTTAGGATGGACTACCAGTATACCATCACATCTATTTTTAGTTTGTTACTGTCTGCAGTTTTTTAGTTTGTTACTGTCTTTTTCTCTTGCACCTCCCATTTTCCATTGCACATTCACTAGTTTCTCTTGTGCCAAAAGCGTGATGAATTGCAACTCATCTTGATTGATCTTGTCATTCTTTACTTTTGTTACTGCTCGTAGATTACAGACATCGAAAGCTTAGTAGTGGCGCCGATATCAAAGGCGTCTGCTAGACAAAGAGCTGGAAGAGCTGGTAGAGTGAGGCCTGGAAAGTGTTTTAGGTATGAGATTGTTTGCTTGGTTGCTGTTCAAGTTTCTGATATTGCTTTTTCCTTAGTTTCATGACATATATAATCTTACCTGTTTGATATCTTACTTCGCGAGATTTTCTTTATTGGCAAGTTTTCTGGTTAAGTAAATCTTTATGCACTAGCATAGCATTAAAATAAATCGTTCTGCAATTTATCTACTGTGGAAAATGGGCCTCTTTGGTCATAAAGATCTGATGCTCTTCTCTTCTAAAGGAAGGGCTGCATTTTCTTACATAATATCTGCACTCTGAGTTACATCCAATCATTAGGGCTCTCTCTCTCTCTATCTTGTTTGACGAGTGAAGGTTTCAAATCTGAACTCTAGGTATGAGAGCTCAATGTGATGAGGCTATGGGGGTTCTTCCCAACATTTGGGTGTCCTTTGGACTTTATGGATGCGGGCTAAATGGTTTTAAATCACTCTTCTCCATGTTTGATGTAATACTTGTCTTCAACAATGCTTGGGAATCAGCTATTTTGTTAATTTCGATGTTCTGGTTGGATGAGGTTTGTTAGTCAAAACAAATAACCAACATTGTTTTGTTAAATGCTCAATTGTGATAACATTTATAGGACTCCATCAAACTTATGGACTTAATTTTTAGTTTCATTACCTCTCGTCTTATTCTTAAATTGTTACTCACCTGACTACAGAAGGAAGATTTATCTTTTGAATGCCATGATTGTTTCCGTGTCAAAAATAAGGGAAAAAAAAGAGGAAAGAAAATATGTGTTTTATTGGTTGTGTTATATTTTTAGGTGTACACATATTTACTTCGTTTCTAACCTTTGTAGATTATGTACTACAACAATTTAGAGAAGCTTGGGTTTTTGGGTTCCTTAAAGCCTTATAGCTGGACTCAGCTTACAAGTAAGGTGGATATCATAAGGGCCATAGGAGCCACGATCTTTGCGACATGAACAAACGCAGATTCGTTTTTAGTGAGATTTGATCATGTGACTGATTTCCATAGTTTGTAGACCCAACTGGTTCTACCATAGCCAAAGCCATATCAAGTTGGGTTGCACACCTAAACTCGAAAACTGTGTTGGAAATAAAAGGAATAGGCTTTATTATATTTGATGGACATAACTGTCATTTATCATGCGTCGAGTTTCTACACGTTGAAGAAAACAGTACAAAATGATGACAATGTTTCCCCACCTAGAACATTTTCCCTAATTGTTTTATACTCTCCATTAACTCCCCTCAAAAATAAAAAATCTTCCTTTGTTCCAGTCTCTCTTTGTTCCTTTGCACAAAAAACACCCTATGGGTTGATGTTGGCTTAATTTATCCCAAAGTCCACGTAGATGAGCATAATAGTCTCCTAGTGACAAGTCACCCTAATTAAAATCGTTAACTTGCTGCTCCAATGCATAAACCCTTGCAATAATTTTCGTTTGGGAAAGGGACTCAGAGACTGCCTCCCATAATTCCTTAGAGGTATAGCAATTCATCAAGCATCAACTCATATTAGGCTGCATAGAAAATAGTAACCAATTCGTAATAGCCATGTCTTCAACTTCCCAATCTGCATATTTAGTGTCCTTCAGGTCGGGTTCCCCCCCCCCCCATCCCCCGCCATCAATGTATCCAAGTTTTTTTCCTTCCACCAAAAATAGTCTAACTGACTTGGCCCATTCTAAATATTTGATTCCATCTGTTGGGGTTATGTGGCCATTTAAAGGCCTTAGAGAGCATGTAAAACTATGACTATAGTGATATAATAACTCCAGTGGGAGTACGATTTAGTGGGACCAAAGGATTATAGGCAAAAGGGGCCGAAGTTGGCAATATTGATGCCAAGACTCAAACTAGGCTTGACGAGCTAGACCAAGTTGAGTTCTAAAACCCTATGAGACCTAGGCATTAGCACAAACGAGAAGGGTTTGCAGGGTTAGCTCTTGATGAGGTCGGAGAGATGCCTAGGGTAGTTCGCCGAGGGATTAAGTGACCCCTGTGTGTGATTGGTAGGCCTGAAGGGATAAGGGCCAAATCCTCATCATGACCATCACATGACATGTATATTTGATAACTGTATTGGAAAGTAGACACCATTGAGGGTGTTACATGTACATGAGCGAGAGATAGCCCTTGTGCACCAATTGCGATGAGTGTGCACAGTGACCTAGGCTTCGTCATAGGGGGAACCTGTAATCCATGGACTAGGACTATGTTCTTATCACCTATTGGCTAGCTTTGGTAGTTCAATCATGAACCCTGTGATGGACTGTGGGTCATGGGAACTATTGGGTATTTTTAGTTTGAGAAAGTGAGTGTAGGACATGGTCACTAGAGGAGATGGAGTGCCTCAGTATATTAACATTTTTTCTTATGGAAGTTGGATCCAATTCCCCATCAAAATATTTTAAAATGTTCAATTTTATGATAAGTGATATTTAGAATATTAATGTGAATTTTTAAATAGCTATGGATATTTTATTTTATCAAAATTGATTTTTCATAAATTAAAATATTCATAGAGAAAAATAAAATACTTATGCTTTTCTAAAAATCATTTTAAAATTATTTAAGCTTGTAAGGCCTAAAAATACATTGGGGCCCACCACATTAGGCTCATTTTGATGGGAGTGTGGGGCCCATTGTGGACTCCACTCTTTCCTCTTTCATGTGTGGTGTGGCTTGTCTAGGAAGCCACCTTGGTGATTTGAAATTGAAATGGAATGTTCTATGGAATAAGGAAGATTGTTTTCAAAATAGGTTGGTGTAGAGATTAATTACATAATATATTTTTTTTAACAAAATATTGATGGGATTAGGTTAAGGAAGCTGAGGGATAAGGTTTTAACACCTTCCGTTAGATCATTATGGCTGATCTAGGGATTGTATGGCTAAGATATATCACCCCATAAGTCACCTATGATCTACGGTCAAGATCAAATCTCCATAAAGATGGCTGAACCCTAGCCTCTCTATTATAAATACATCATATGGGGGGTCCTTTTTCTACACACCAAGTTGCACATCTCTCTTTTTCTTCCTCCTAGGGTGGCACGCCACGCTCTCTCTACTCTCTTGTCTCTCTCACCATCTCAAAGGACTTAGAAAAGAAAAAGAGGACCACGCCCCTAGGATGTTGTGAAAGGGGGCACGCCCCATATTGTTGTGATCAAGAGAGGCCCTATGTTTTATTCACATGCTCTCATATTTCAAGTGAAAGGGTTTACCTAAGCTTCCCATTTGTTGAGATTCAAGAAAGAGTCATACCAACGATCCCGTGTGCCATTGGTAGAGGAAACCCAGTGTGGGGTGTATGAAATCTTTGGGGGTAATCTAAGGCAAGGTAATTGGCAATTCTATTGGCTCCATGTTTCTTGATTGTTCATGCGTTGTATTTTTATTTGATTGTACAGAGTTGCAATGGTATACAAGAGAAGATCTTAGATTATATTAGGATTTATATTTCAATAAAGATATGTAATTTTGAACATTAACAAGTGATCTAGCCGGTAGAATAAGAGAAAGAAAAAAAAAATTTAAACTATGCATATTGTGCTAGATCACATGAGCCTTCTTTCACCATTGAATCTGACTGTGGTGATTTGGGGTTTAGATTACTCCATATTTTCATGCATGTAGAGACATTCTCTATTGTAGTTGTGATGCGGTTGCACCTTTAGATCTTAATCAACAATTGAGATCACAGTTGCTGGAACCTTGTAGGAAAGGTCACGAACCGCCTCCGGTACCTTGATTTCGCAGTTCCAGCTAGGAATCTTTGATGGAATGTGATTCCCTATATTGTGATCTGCGTTCCCAGCACGTTCGAACTGCAGTTCTCAAGTGTGTGACACAGTGCATCTGATTTTTTCTGTATTTGGCACTGATTCATATGCAATGATTCAGTTTTGTGCCCAATGGTACTGTGAACCCATGCATCATTCTTGATCCCTTAAAACATACTATTGTGATTCCTTCCCCGTGGAATCATGCTTCCTTATGACAAGGATCCCGCTCCCTTGATATAGGCTTGTACGGATGACAATCCCAACTACAAGGAGCTTCAAACAATCCATGGTTCCACAGACTCGAGCCCGCTCTAGCTCCCGAAAATGCACCCGCACCTGACAACTATGATTGAGATCAAGTTACACCCTTTGATCTCTTCAAATAAAAGGTTGTACAGATCTGGTTGCACCCTCAGATCTAATCATCACTCCCTTTTTTCAAAAAAAATCAAAAAATTGTACTAACAATACTTCTTTGATTGGGGCATACAAACCCTAATCCATCCAACAGCTAGCTTTTGGAATAAATAGTTGATCGGCATCGAGAATCATAAAAAGATCACCTCCATTGGCACATATACTGTTAAAAAAAGTTAGGATTTTAGGGCATGATGATGTCACCTAACCCAAAGGATGATGTCAGCCCTGAACACAGTTCCTGCACACTTTTTTGAAGATCAACCCCTTGCTGCAGTACCGTGCTACATAACATGTTACAATACCATGCTACATTAACGTGCTATAGTACCGTGCTACAAGTCGTCGAGCTCGGATACCACGTTGAAATTAAAATGGAGAAGAAAACAATTTAATAGGATCTAAAGAGGAGGAAAGAAAATAAATATAATGGAGAAGGGGGAGAGAGAGAGACATGTGAAAGATAAAGAGAGAGAGGGGAATTGAGTGGCTTCAAAGGTCACTTATGACCTCTACCCCTCTTATGACATTAAATAATAACCCTAATTACAATTTATGGACAATGTTACCCTTATTTAGAGGCATAATACAAATAAGGACTAAACAAAAATAAATGATAGTTATGTCCACCAAATACAATAAATCTTATTCCTTGTATTTCCAACATTGAAACAACTAGGGCAAATGTTCTTAGTGGTGAGACTTCGCCATCACTATGTAATGTTTTTCTCCCTTCTTTAGTATGAAGAAACTCGACGCAAGATAAATAACAGTTTTGTCCATTAAATACAATGAAGCTTATTCCTTTTATTTCCAACCAACTGAAGACACGGGTGAAACTCCATAAATCCAACCAGTTCTATTGACTCGTAATATGATATGTCAGAATCAGAATACTCAGTCAGTTCCATGTTCCTTGTCAGAAAGTAAGTTACTGTACCTAACAGAAAAGAAAGTAATGGGAATCTCACTTAATGGCCTATACAGGTTCCTTACTTTTACTTTCTGGAATGCTTTTTGGAATGTGAGTTAATCCACCTACACAAAACAAAGAACATACATTCATGCTAGAGAAACTGAAATCATACTTACTAGAAGGTAACCTAGTTCACTTGTAAGGAGTTTGAGCCCCCTTCCTTCTTTCCAACAATCTAATGTATGGCCCCATTTCTTAAGATCCTAAATTCAGAGAAGCCAAAACATTTCATGCTCCTATGGGACTATATTGTGCATCTACTCCCTCGGGCAAAACTCATACTAGGAACATTTTTTATATCCAATTTTTTGGGATTATATCTGTAGAACCTTAAAGAGAGAAAAAAAAAAAAAAATCTCACTATTTATGTTCCTAAAAAATTGACATCCCAAGATTGGATAGGAACTGTCCAATTTTTGGAGGGAAAGATCTCGATATTAAAGAACTCGAAATCCATCATCTAGTTATTTAGATAGATCCCAAAACAAAATCTATTTTTTTTATTTTTTATTTTTTGAAGGAGGGGGGGGGGGGAATTCCAAGTATAGCTGTTTTTACCTGGGGGAATTTTTGTGCAGTATGCTTATGCAAGAGCATACAATGCGCGCTCTTCAGAAAAAAGGGAAATAGGAAAGCCATCAAGGATGTCCCTTCCAGAACTTTTTAGATTTTGTGAAAAAAATTTGTACTGTAATTTTCTTTGGGAAGAAGATTGAGAGAGGCTGCTAACAATAGTGACTTGTTTTTCTTTTTCTTTTTCTTTTCTTTTTTTCCTTTTTTTTATAGAAATGCTTTCCCCAACAAACATGGGCATTTTTCTTCCTTTTTAAGATAAGTGATCTTTTCTTCCTTTTTTCTCTAGGCTTTCCTTTGTTCCTTAACATAATGGGTGGAATTTTATTATTTTTTTCCTTCGATAAAAATGAAATAAATTCCCTTTTTTATTTGCAAAATTTTTGCAAATATGTTATATATTTCATGTATTTGAAATTTTGCAAATATGTTATATATTTCATGTATTTGAAATGTATCCCTTATTTTTCGTATTTTATGGTCATGTCCCATATTTCAGACCTTTTTATTTTATGAAAATCCCCCCGTTCCAAACTTCAAGTTCTGAACTGGTGTCCTTTTTTCTTTTTCTTTTCTGAAGTTACACGTTGGTTCAAAACAAAAGTTTCAAGCCGAATTTTTTTTGAAAATTAAGGGATCTAGAACATGAAGTTCCATGCCACTTATTCACTCAGAAGAAAGACCCAATGTCAACATTGTGGAGCTTCATGTTCCAAGCCGAGGATAGTAATTTTTGAGTGAATAAGGGTTTTGAGACTTTAAAATGTGTAAGCACTTAATTGAAAAAACAGCAAAATCAGTTTGGAACACCGTTTCTAGGGCATTTTGGGAAAAATAAAATACGTCATCAACGTAAAAAATGAAAAATGTTTTAAGTCTCGTAAAATATGTATGATATTTATGAAAGTTTGTGTTTTTATTTTTCTTTGTAAAAGACTCATAAATCAAGTACTAGTTGGTCTGTGGAACAAATCAAATAAGGCAAGTATGGTCTTTTATGTTCTCTTTGCAAATTTATATCGTTTATCAAATATCGTTAACTTTTGGAACTTTTTATAAAGTTGTGAATTTTATGATTTCTTTTTTATTTGAACCATGATTTGGGTTTTTGATATGACCTAGTCGAGTCAATGGGGTTGGGTCACAAGCAACAGGATCCCTTTTGTGGTTTGGAAGTCGAGACCAATGTCAGCTCTTTTGAGGTTGGACCATATACAAACATCATTCAAATAACTTTTTTATTCTATTTGGCCATTTATAAAAAATGTCATTGTTCTTGTGAAACAGTGAAAGTTAATTGCTTGACCTTTAAAAAAATTTTCCAAACTGATTCTTGATACTGGAAGGAACCATATTTGATATGTCTCTCATGTTCATCTTTACTATTTATTTGCCCTCACGTCTAGTTATGCATATTGTTAGTGGTGGATAGTTGTTGCTTCTCCCTCAGATTTGTATGTTCGTTGTATTTTGTATTTGTTAAATACTAATGCGTTATTGGAACTTTTGTGTTCAGGCATTGATCCCATCATTATGTAGTTTGTTTTTTTAGTGAAAACTATTTGTTGAATTTGTTTAGTTATGGAATTGTGAGAGTCCTAGTTTTGCCTTCATATCCCAATGCTTAGATTGATTTCTTATTCAAGCAGATTGTATACTGAGGAATACTTTGAAAGTGAAATGCCTCTGGAGGGAATCCCGGAGATGCAAAGGTCCAATCTTGTTTCATGTGTTATCCAGGTAAGTTTATGAGTGCTTGTAGGTATCCTTCCTTTTTCATTTTCATTGCACTTGTACATGGGTAGTCATTATCATTTAAAACTTTTGTCTTCCAATATATAAAATTTACTATAAATGTTTAGGTGTCTTTGTTTGTTTTAGTTATTAGATTTACATGTTCAAATGGAAGGCTCAAAAAGGGCAAGAGGTAGGCTTAAAAGGACATGGTTAGAAGTAGTGAGAAAATATATGGGGATTTATGGCCTCACTGAGATTATGGCCTTGGATAGAGCAGAATGGTAGACTGGGATTCGTGTAGCCGACCCTAGATGATGATGATAATGATGATGATGAGTTATTAGATTTACACACGTACATCTATACGTACAAACATTTACTTACATGGGAAATGAGCTCTCCATTTTCAATTATCTTGTTGGTTGGTGGCTATTTTGACATTTTATGATTGGAAAATGAGCTCTTTTTTCTATAGTTTGCAAAATCAGTTGGTCAACTCAGGAGTCACCTGAGTTGATGAGACCCTAGTCACAGCTGGTCAGTGTTGGGTATGATTCAGAACAGGTTTTATCATGTACGCACATAGGGTTGGAGTATATACTTTTAATAGAAGATCAAAACATGCCACTTGGTTGGCCTGCTTAACTCATTGGGTTACAAGGCCTACCCAAATCTAGTAACCATCTGCATCTGAGTTTGGGTTCAAGTTTGCAATCTTCGCGCCTTTATATTATTTACCTTTTTTTTTGTGGCTTTTGACAACTTTTTAATTATTGCCTATTTTTTGTTGTGTTGATTAATCTTTTTTTTTTTTTTTACGCGTCAACCCAAATTCTGTTAACTGATATTAAATTACAGAGAAACAAAAAAACACATAAAACAAAGATCAAGAGATGTCAAGACCATAATTACCCAAATCTCTCACTAAAGTTTGCGATTCCAATTCGAAACCCCAATTCGGTGATTTCGACTAGGAGTCTTCACAGAATCTCTTTCCGTGGCGTCTAGAATCTCGATTCCTTATTTTAGGAATCTCAATTATAACACTCATAGAATCTCGTTTCCAATATTTACTGATTCTTGATTTCCAATATTGATTCTACACTTGTTGATACTGGTTTCCACATTTACCGGAATTCTACCACTTCTACCTTTTTTGTTTTCTCTTTGCTTTGTGAGAAGTGATGTTTAGAAATTTTCAAGGCATCAAACTACTCGAGTTAGACATTTAATCTCAATCTACAAGGTGAAACCAAAGTGGTGGTCCATGTTCTCTACTTAAATCTAGAAGTATGCATTGTATGGATCCAATAGAGAGATTGCAACTCTAAGATGTTATAAATAATGTAATACAAATAATGTAATTATACATGTATGGCGTGTCGATTAATGAATGACATTGAGACATGTATTATTTCCTTCTCAGTTCCCTCTCGATTTCAAAGATGTCGGAATCTCGATTCCATAGATGAAGGAATCTTAATTCTATATCAGTCGATTCCAACTTGGTTGGAAACCTGATTCCAAAGAGCTAGGAATCACGATTCAATCTATGTAGGGATCTCGATTATATTTTGGTCGAATCTCAATTCCTAAAATTAGATTCTCATCCCCCACGATCCCTCTTATACATACGTCAATTCCGAAAACAGGAATCTTCCTGTTGGCGACGATTCCATGCTTTCGATCCCTAAATTAATTTGGTTTCCGAATCGCTTGAGGTAACTATGGTCAAGATTGCATCAACTAAGAGTGACTCTTGAAGAACCTTTGATTGGCAAAGGTATGAGCCTTTGGTTAGCTCCCCTAAGAATGTGCACAAAGATCACACCCTTAGTGTCACTGATGTTGAAGATCTCGCCAAATGCCACAACCACTCCCCTTGAAATAGAAGCCTCTTTATGTGCCCATCTTATGGCATTCAAACATTGCCATAGTACTGCTAATGGAAGGGGCTTATCTATATACTTCGAAAGCAATACACGGGTTTCCACCAATGAGGGGTCACATTTACCCAATGGTCCCAAATAGTTTGTGCTTTCTCCCAATTTCATCCTTTAAAATTGCTCCAATACCTGCCGGGCCTTGGTTATCCCTTGATCATCCATCAAAATTGAGCTAACAAGTCCCTTCTACCAGAGTAACCCAAAGTGCTCTCGTTTGAAACAAGAATAGTCCTCACAAGGCTACAAGTTTCCCATCCTTGGTCAAGTCTATAGCCCTAAAACCGTGAAATGCTGGTTGAGGACCAAGCAAATTCCATGAGATCACCATATTGCTAGTCCTCTCTTTGAGGGCCAACTCATGCATCTTTTGATATGAAAGTACTACCATTTTGGTCTTTCCAAATACACCAAATAAATTCTCAATTGCCAAAACACCCTGCCCCTAGGTGGGATTGCCATAGAGATCCTCGACACTGTAAGGTCCTCAAGTAAAGCCAGGTTCAGCCATGGGCCTTAGATGGAGCATGTTTTCATGTTGATCACAAATTGCAATGTGATAGTGATAATATTATTTGAAGGTATATGATTGTGGGGTATATACATTGGGAGGCAATTCATTAGATTGAAATTTATGCCAATTGATTGGATGGATCCACCTCTCAACTAATTGTTTTGATACAAAATTTGTGGACCTAACACTAGAAGTTACTTTAAGGTTGATGACTTGTTTACCATTGTAAAATTCATTTTCTTAATAGAAATTGGGGATGCATGCAAACAACCAAATTGGGGATGTGAGCACACAACTGCACCTATTTAAATAGTTTGTTTCAGTTTTTTAAAACTTAGATCGGCCGGGAAAACAGGTCATCTAGCAAACTGGTCTAGGTCATCGAATCACCAATCCGGATCGATGATTCTGATTGAATCTGTAGTGTGAGAAGTGGTCCATTAAAAAATAAAAAAATGAAAGAAAAGGGACAATAAAAAAATATATTATGTGGGAGCCAGGCGATCTGGGTGGTCCGGATCACCACAAGATCGCCAATCTGGCGATCCACGACCGAGTTGGACCTATTTTCGATACTTGCTGGAAACCGATTCACCATGGAACAATTACTAATCTAGAGTGGTGGGTTTTTAAGAAATCCTTCTAGAAATGCATTATTGTCATTTTATTGACTAATTGATAGAATAAATGGAATTTTGTTTAATTTATTAGTAGTTCGAGTATGTCTTACTTTTCTTGTAAGCCCTGATTGCAAACATTCATTATGCTAAATTTGCAGTTAAAGGCCCTTGGAATAGATAATATATTGGGCTTTGATTGGTTGGCTTCACCATCACCAGAGGGGATGATTAGAGCACTTGAGGTTCTTTACTCATTGGGCATCCTGGATGAAGATTCTAAACTAACTTCTCCAACTGGTTTCCAAGTTGCAGAGATGCCACTGGTAAGTTCTTGATCTTCATTAAACTGTACTCTCAAATTGAATAATTTCCATGTCTACAACATTAATTTTTCACTTTATTCATGTAAATTATTGGTAAACTTATGCGGGAACTCTATGCCAATAAAAAAGAGTACATGTTTCATGTGGGGGCTACTTTTATTTTTGTGTTATTTTATTCATGTAAATTATTGGTAAACTTATATGCCAATAAAAAAGAGTACATATTTCATGTGAGCTACTTTTCTGTTTGTGTTATCTGTACTACTTAATGTCCCTAAAAGTTTTGCATTTGTCAAATGGAATATTCCTATAATGGATTATTATGCATGTCAGCCTCTTCTTCTCTCCCTAAGCATCATGCCATATTGTACCCTCAAACATGGTGGCTTCAAACTTCCGCAACCAATGTGGAAGGACGGCTTCAAGTTTTGATCAGCCTTACTCTCTTGGAGTTTGTTTGAAGAACATCATGACTTTCTTCAATTTGCAGACCATATTAAGCTAAAACTGGCTATGAAGCAAGTGCTTTTGAACTGCTTCCTGGTTCCATGAACTCCACCTTGTTGAGTTCGGATGTCATACCTATGCAGGGAGAAAAGCAACATGATATGCATGCCATCATTACTAGTTTAACCTTTACTAATTCCTATGCTTTGTTAGTGTTGTGACTATCCTATTGCCTTGTATTTGTTCATTTCATACTTTCAATAGAAGAAGGGGGGGGGGGGGGGGGGGGGGAAGAGAGAGAGATTTGAATAGAGAGCAGTCTACGATCCCAATAGACCTAACACACCTCTCATATAATCTTTTGATATCAATGAAATATGAAAAATGGCAATGGTGCCCATACAAATTGAAATAGAACATATAGATCCTAATAACTTAACTCAAAGAGTAATAAATGCAAAAGTAGAAATGAAGATAAAGTGACTTTTAACACTCCCCCTCTGGCTGTTACATAAATTGCACCCATACCCAACTTGGAACAAATTATTTAGTATAGATTATGACCAAGGGCTTTGGTGAAGATATCTGCCAATTGAACCTTAGATTTCACATATGGAGTAGACCCCTGCTTACTGTTAACCCTCTCCTAAATAAAATGACAGTCTACTTCAATATGCTTAGTTCTCTTGCAAAATACTGGATTGTTGGCTATATAGGTAGTAGCTTTATTATCACAATACATCTTCATAGGCTCAGCAATAGTAAACCCCATCTCTTGCATCAGTGTCTTTTGCCACATTAATTCATGTGTAGTATGTGCTATTGCTCTATATTCAGCTTCTACACCAGATCTAGCCACAACATTTTGTTTCTTACCCACGTAACCATATAACCGTATTTCCACTAATAAATGTACAATAACATGTGGTAGACTGCCTGTTAAATGAGAACCTTCCCAATCAACAGAATAAATCTCAATGGTCAAGTGATTATTTGGCTCGTAAATTGGACCTCGACCTAGAGCTCACTTCAGATACCTCAAAATTCTACGGACAACATCCTAGTGAGGAATCCTGGGAGAGTGCATAATTCAAGTCACTATGCTTATCATAAAAGCAATATCAAGCCTAGTGATGGTCAAATGAATCAGCCTGCCAACCAGTCTTTCGTCGTGGATCCTCAAACAACGCCCTGTTGTCAGCCAATACTTTTTATTTGAATCTATAGAAGTATCGATTGATTTAGCACCTATTATTTCCAATTTTTGTCAAGAAATTAGTCGTGTACTTTCTTTGAGATTCTTTGATCTGACTACTTCAATTCCTTGAAAAGACCTTAGGGTACATTTGACAAAATAGAATCTGAATATTCAAATTTCTAAAAAACTGGAGAAAGCCCTTGCCTTTTTTCATATATATATGAATTGTATATTATACCAATATATGTTTTCTCTTTCTCTCTCTATAAAAAGTGACTGGATATGCATGACACGACTCTCTTTCTCTCTCTGCTTTGGCTCTCATCACACAGTATGGGGCTTGGATGAATTGAACAGGAGCGCCTCTTCCCTCAATATCTCACCAAATTGAAAAGCAATTAGCCATTAAAGAATGCCCGGTGCTTAAAGCCTTTCCACCACCTATCTTTCCATCTGAATTAAAATCAAATGCTACAAGTCCAAATCCACTTCCCTCTGTCTAGCTCTCTAACGAAAATGGGGTTTCGAGGTATGAATAGCTTAATGAATTACAGGTAAGCCAACAATCGCCATGGGTGGAAAAGAAGGCAGGGCATCAAAAGAACCCCCACCTTGTCCCACCATAATTCTCCTAGGTCGCTCTTTAGTGGTGCATTTGTTCAAAGGAGGCGCAAATATAAGCCCAGGACCCATGATCCCTGTCGCTTCCTTCTCTAAGATCGTTGTTGAAACCGAGTACCGCTTTTTCTCACAATTACTTGCAGGTGCAGGAATCCTGCCTTTTCCTCCAGGACTTCTGTCTTTTTGGTCGAGAATTTTGGTGAGGATTCAGCCATGGTGAAACAAAGCGAGCCTTTGTTCTTCAACGTCCAAATTAGAGAAGGCAAAAGCTTCAGGGTTCATAAGGAGGGGTTGCCTCAGTTGTGAAGAGGCTTAATGGAGTGCCATTTTCTAAACAATTGAGAAGCTTGGATTGATGGCAGGGGGATGTTTATAGGCCACATGTGTCTGCAACTGTTTGAGGTTTTGGTGAGAGCTGCTCCATTGAAGGTAGAGTAGGTCAAAATTTGGACCTAGCCTATTACCCTTTGTGCTTGCAACAAAAAAAGCAGCGATAGAGAGAGAGAGAGAGAGAGAGAGAGTTTCTAAAGTTTTAGACAGTGTGTGCGTATTTGGAAGGGGGCTGACTTCTTTGATGGCTAATTTCTTTTGATTGTTTCATGGTGGCACCAAAACATGGCCATCACCAACAACGAACATACTTTTGGCAAAGAAGCAGAGGAGTATTGAAATAGAGAGAAAGGTGGTTCACCAAGGTGAGACGAGAGTGAGAGAAAGGGCTGGACAAGAAAGAGGTGTCTTGGCCAAGAAGAAATTGCCAGACTGAGAGAGAGAGAGAGAGAGAGAGAGAGAGAGAGAGAGTCGATTGTGTGGAGTGCCACTCACACAATTTTTATAATCCTTGAAATTTCAATTCAAAGTTGAATTTTTCCAGACTCAGATGTTAAACGGTTATCTAAATATATCTTAATATGATTTGAGCCCATCAAACATGGTTCTCTAACTTCCATAATCAAAACTATATTGGATTTTGTAATATCCTGAATATCAGATGTTAGAATGTTATCATAAAGATCCTTCGCTGGCCCAAATGCTTGTATGAACTTATTGATTTATACATCTCTTCAAATGACTGATTCGTTTTTATCATTCTTGTAATGACAATGTCATCAACATATACAACTAAGACAATTATCCTGGAGTTATGTCTCCAAATAAACACTGAATGATCTACATGGCTGCATCGTTATCCATATGCTACAGCAAGTTCACTAAATTTCTTAAACCATGCATACGGGAGCTGCTTCAAACCGTAAATTGCATAAGGGTGCTGCTTCCGATTGTAATTGCTTTCTTCAAGTTCAATACCTTGTCTAAGTCCCCTTGAGCAACAAACCCAAGCGGTTGCTAAATGTACAACTCCTCTTGTAAATCACTGTTTAGGAAGCATCAAGCTGCAACAGTTGTGTTTACTACTATAGATATGAATGATTACTCAAACTGAGTTAAGTTTAGCAACAAGAGCAAAAGTTTCAGAGTAATTAATGTCGAAGGTTTGGGTGTATCCTTTGATAACCTCTCTGGCTTTTATTCTCTCAATGGTGCCATCAGGCTGGTATGTTACTGCATAAACCCAATGACACCCAACAATCCTTTTTCCAATTGGTAAGTCAATGTATCATTCAAGTTGAGTGCATTTCCTCTTCCATTGCTTTCTCCCACTCAGTATGAGAAAGTGCTTTTTGATAAGACATAGGGAGAAACAGATAAAGAGCTAAAGCAAAACTTTGATAGGATGGAGACTAATTTATAAAGGTAAATGAAATGAGCAATGGGATGTTAAGTACATGACCTTATACCTTTATGGATGATGATAAGGACATTGTTATCAACTGACACAGGATGTGAGTTGGAAGCAGGAAGTGGATCTGTAGGCGAAGATGATGATTGAGTGGCTGGTTGACATCCTGTACTTTCCTTCTCGTGTAAACCTTTATGGGTGACTCTTGTGGGACATCATGATGTGGAGAATCAATACTTTCAATAGGTCTAGGTAACTGAGGTAAAGAAGAAGTATCAACAGGAATAGGAAGAGAACTATAGAACATGAGGACTTTGGGACTCCTTTTGGAGCAGGACAAAAGAAATTTGTGTCATGCATATGACCCTCTTCTGAAAAATAAGGAGTTATTTTAAAAAACGGTAACGATAACCTTTTAGAAGTGTGACTATCCTGGAAAAACACACTTGACTACTCAAGGATCTATTTTTTATTACTAGTACCTGAAACATGAACAAAGCAAATACACCCAAACACCCAATGAGGAACGACAAACAATGGAGTATGAAAATAGAGAAGAAAATTGAAAAGGGCATAAAATTAATTCAACAACATGAGGTCACCGAGGCAACTCCCTGAAACTTTAGGAACATGCATATTAATCAGCAGAGTGCAGGTCACTTCAAGTGAATGTTGATTTTCTTTTTAGCAACCCCAATATGTTGAGGAGTATGGTCATAAGAAGTTACATATAAAATTCCATTTTAAGCAAAATAATTTTGAAATTCTCTGGAAAGATACTCTCTAGCATTATTGGAACGTAAAACACATTCTTATTGAATTATATTTGAATGTCTTTGAGAAACAGTTTTAAAATGGAGAAAGTCTCAAATCTCTCTGTTATTAAACATAACCACATTCTTCGTGAATAATCATCCACGAAAGTTACAAAATATTTATGACCAAGCTTTTTACTCTAACAGGGCCCAGTTATCATAATGAACAATTGTAAAC